GGATTAACCCTTAAATCTCAATTTGTGTGAACAGAGATCAGTACTTTACAAAGTGGTTTCCTATGTATTATTTCATATCAATTTCCCTGAGGTAAGCACCAGTGCACTGCTTATTTCACTCAGCATCATTGCTCAGTTGGCCCAGTACCTCTTAGCTCTACTTTTTCTCATAAACGGAACCCCTTCTCCTGCTAAACAACATATTTTGGAAAATATCCTACCCCAACATGCTGGGTTTGTTTGTTTGTTTCTGAGAATAGGGACTCATTATATAGTCCAGGTTGCGCTTGAAATTGCACCAATTCTTCTGCTTCAGCTTCCTGAGTGCTGGGATTACAGATGTGGGCCACCACCCTCAGCTGCATTTCCGTTAAGAACAGCCAGTCTTAGTGTCCACTCCCCAAACTGGGTGCTGTTAAGATTCTTTGCCAGTCCCTGACCTTCTGTACCTTCCTGCATTCTGAGTACAGAAACCTGGACTCTTCAGCTTGCTCCTCCAGAACTCCCTTGGCCTCTAGCTTCCAGGGACGTTTGGCTATTGGGATAAGCATCCAAAGCCAAAGACCAGAGAGCTGGAGGAGAGATGGGGTTTTAGCTGCCTGTTCCACCACGCACCTCACTGCTAGTGGTCAGGCTCCTTAAAAAGCACAGCTCTTAAGTAGGTCTTCTTCTACTAGGGTGCCAGCTCTTTCTGGATTCTGTTACTAATATTCCCATTTCCTGCCCTTTGCATCATGGGAAGGCATAGATTCCCACTGTTCCGAGTCACCAGGCACCTCACCATCCCTGCTGGTTTCCTCGATCCTTATTATACTTTTACAGAAGAACCCTCCCTGTATTCTCCTGAGCGAAACCACTTTGTGTATGCCATTTAGTCCTTGCCTGGACTCTTTTAACCCAGGGCTGATCTTAGAAGCTTATCCTGATGCTCACAGTGATTAGGCCAAGAAGTAGCATGTGACCCAATTCAGGCCAATCAGAATCCTCCTGTGATTGATTTATTTAGAGAACTAATTCTTGCAGAACAGTTAGGTCAAGGATATAAGCTTTATGCTGGGGCCACAGCTCCACTTTATAGAGAAAGCCATTTAAACCTTGAGTTTGATTCCTTGGGCCTCCATACTGCCCTGATTCCAGCCTTAAAATAGGTTCCTTCTTTTTGTAGGAGCCAGTTTGAATTGATTTGTGTTTCCTGAAATCATCAATGTTAAGCTAGTTATTCAGTTATTAGGAAGCAGATCAAAATCAAACTCTAGTCATCTGCTTCCACAGCCTATGATAATATCTGTGATTTTTAAACAGATAGTGTGTGTTCATTCCTTTGGCTTAGACATCTCCCCTCTGGGCCTGCCACAGCTCTGGAAAGTCCCTGCCCTGGAGAGCACTCCTGTGGGAAAAGGCACATTGTGTCTAGGAATTTCCTGTAGAAAGGTACAGATGTAGTTCATTTACCATAATTAGATCATACATGAAAAATTGTGCATTAACCAGAAACTGACCAATAGAATCATATCTTTAAAGCTGAAGAGGAGATCTTTACAAAAGAAATTGTGGCATTAATCCTCAAGTAAAGCAAAGGCCCGCTGTTTTTTTCTTAATAAACCCAGGTTTTTATGCATACAGGGTTTCCTAAACAATCTGTAAGAATTACCTGACCTCTGAAAGTATTTTCCAATTTACTACTATCGGAGACAGAGAGATTTGCCTCCCTGCATCCTCCCCTCACAAAAGGTGCTCTTAGGAGGAACTCCATGCTCTCAAAACAAGTAGAATTGCTAAATCTTGTCAAGATGATGTTGAGCAGGGTATGGTGGGATATGCCTGTAACCGCAATACTCTGAGAGGCCGAGACCAGAAGATCATAAGTTCTAGCTCAGCTTGGACAGCTTAGCAATATAAGGAGAGCCTAACTCAAAATAAACAATAAAAACAGACTGGCAATGTAGCTCAATGCAAAGACCTTATGTTAACTTCGAATACCACAAACAAGTGTGCACATGTACACACACACACACAAACACACACACAAACACACACAGTGTTAAATTAGCCAAGGAAACTTCTCACAAGGGTTACATATCACAGTAGTACAGCTGAAGAGATAAGATTTCAGCATGGGGTGAATATCACCTACATAAATGAAAGGGTCATATAAACCCCATTATTATGGGGATACGTGAGCCAAGTTCCTTTCTTCTCTTTACCTGTTCTTTGTAGAGTGTCTTTTCCATACTCTAGGAATCTCTTGAGCCAGGCAATGCATTCTTTTTCCAGCCAGTTCTTTTGAACTGTAACTCACATTGATTGGCCTCCCACGCCCGGTTGGTGATGACAGCCACATTATCTACAGCCACCCAGGAGAGAGTATCTTTATTAAAGATAATGAAATCCTCCCCATCATATGCATATTGGAGAAATCCTGTAGTACTTCCATCTTCCAGCAACTCACAGCCAATCATTCTCTGATAAGTGTGAACCCCTGGAAAACACGTGAGTCATGAGGGATGGACACAGGGACAGAGCTGGCTCTTAGGTGAGGTGACCAGGGTATGGCTGGAAGTATCCTCTGCCCTAGGGATACTGACCCCTCATGCCATATGTCTCCAGGAGGTTCCTATTATGTAAGCCCACATATCAATAGACATTTGTGGAGTAACTGCCAGCTACCATAGGAATATGATAATGCTTATCTTGGGGAGTTATCTTGGGGATGATTAACTGATAAATTTTGTGGCCATTATGAGTGCAATAGAAAGAGATATCCAGGAAGTAGAAATATCCCTGGGAAAGTTAATGTACTAAGTCATTACACATAAGCTAGCAAATCACTGAGCCTGGCCATCCAGAAATGAGACTCAGGCTAGGCAAATTTAGGACAAAAGAGAAGATGCATGTTAGAAGGCTGGATGGCAATAGGATAGACGTATGAGGCAAAGGTCAGAGGGCTCTTGGGGAAGAGAAGGACAACTGGAAAGATGCATAAGGCAGATGGTAAGCACCAAATTCTACCAACCAAATTTTCCAGGCTTTGCCAAAAGCCACAGTGAGTACAAGTGAGTAGTCTTTCACATTCATCCCAAACAGCCTGTACTGGAAAGAGCCCTGAGGGAACACATCTCTGAAGGGAAGCCACACCTGAGTGATTGTAGTGCCTCTGCAGGTGCCTCAGCTCCGTCTTGAATGTCTGTTGCCAGCCTCTCAGCAGCTGAGTATACCTCTCCCAGTGATCAGGCTCCAAGTTTTCTGCCATCCATGGGGACTGAGGGTCCTTCCGTCGAGTGACACTGTCATATGTGGTGATAGGGTGTGAGTCCACATACCCAACTGAGATAAATTCAGGGATGCCATGGCTAGGATCTGAAAGGCCCAAGCGGAAATACACCAGAGAGTGAGTCCCTGGGCAGGAGGTAAGGACAGGCATTACTGAGTGGCACAGATGATCTAAATTTATAAATTCCATTCCACTGAATCCCCACACCAGTGTCCTCCACACCCATGACTCTGGGGCCCACTGCTATATCCTCATACAGAATTAAAGAACTCTGGGAACTAGCATTCTGGAAAGGGCTTTAGGGCTCTGGGTTTTTTGGTTTAGATTTAGAATCTTAAGATGAAAGTTGGCAGGCAACCTCAGAGTGTACACACAGAATAGAATGCTGCTCTGATCTTGGGGGAAGAGCCCAAGGTTACTCACTGGGCTCTCCAGTGGGGGACTGTGTCTGAGGTGTCCTCAGGAATTTAGAATTAAAAGCTCTCATAACCCAATTCCTTTATTTTACCTGCCATGCCTCTGGGTAGACAAACTGAGGAACCCACTCCACTTCTGTACAATGTATGTGGGCACAAACACACACACACACACACACACACACACACACACGCACAAACATAGAGTTGGGTAGACCAAGAACACCCATAAAGACTTCATCCTTGGAGAAAAAAAAAATTAAAGTATGGTGTTTTCCCTATCATACCAAACCAACTCCATTAGCCAATTCTACTAGGACTGTGATCATGACCAAGGGTTAAAGGTCAACTGAAATAGGGGCCGGGGAGATGGCTTGGTGGAATAAGCGCTTCCCTGGCAAGTGCAAGGGCCTGAGTTCGCTCCCCGGTTCCACAAAAAAAAAAAAAAAAGGTCAACTGAAATGAAACAAATGTTCTGCTCTCTGAGGTACCCACTCAACTCTCAACTTGTCCAAGAAACTCAGTATCTGGTAAAAAGAGGAGAGATGGCTTCAAAATAGCCAGATGGATACCACTATGGGGCCTGAGCAAGTGTGTGCCCTCAGGAAAGATTTTCCAGAGAAGTGATGTCTTAAGAGAGATCGTGGCCCTGGCTAGGAAGGGAGCAGGCAAAGGGACTAGAAGGGACCCAGGAGGAGAGGGTGGCAGGGGCTGGGAAACCACATGGGCAGGCAGGAGGTCTGAGAGATCAGGGTGTACTGTGTGAACCAGATGGCCCAGGATGAGTGCACACAGCATCACAAGGGGACTGGGAGAGATGATGCCTGGGAGGCAAGCAGAGCCCAGGCTGAGAAAGCCATAGCCCTGCATGTCGTGCCATGCCAAAGAGCGGGCAGACAGAAGGCACACAGCTCTGCCTGCTGTCATCTGAAACTGTCTGTCTCTGAGCCTTTCTCATTACCTCCTACCAATCTGCCCCATCTAAACCCTTCCTGGTCATCAAAGCCCCTCCACAAAGACAGACCTAGAACCACCCCTGATAACTGCATGGCCTGATCAAGAGGAAAATTGGAGGCCCATACGAGAGATGCAAATATTTAAAAGGAATAAGTTAAGAAAAAAAGGGGGAAAAAAGGCTAATCATAGACTGTCTTCTAATTTTTAGAAATAGTCATAATAGTCATTCATATGACTCTGACAATAAAGTTCCAAGTTCGAAGTCTACACTTTGTGAAGAGCCTGACCTGGATATAGTGACACAGAGAAATCTGGCCTTTGTGGTCTAGGCCTTGACCCTCAACCTAGTACCCACCTCCTTCTCTCCCCACTTCTAGCTTCATTCACCTTGCCCAGGGCCCTGTGTTCATACTTAAATGGCCTTTTCTCTCATTCAAGTTCCATTCACAAACACAGCCTCTTGGCTACCTCTGAGGCCCGGAAAAGGTTCAGGAACAGACATCCTAGCCTTCAAGAAACAACCATGTGGAAACCTACAAAGCTCTGAGTCACCTAGAGGGGAATTCCAGGTCCCCAGGTACATGGGGTTTGGTCTACAATGGAGGGGCACTGCATGGGGTGATCCCTTCTCCTAGGCCTTATAGATTCCTTGTTCTAGAGAAAGGGCTATAGATAGTTGAGGACCTGTGTGAGGCTCTCTAACATGTGGGAATGCATCTAGGAGCTTCTCTCACCTGTGTCACAGGGCTGTGCTACATTGCATTTCCCCAGTGTCTTTCCAGATTGCCACCTCAATGTTGTCACCCCCTTTGAGAGCTCTGCTAGGACTTGGTAAATACTTGGCAAACAAAATTGTGGTGAAGCAGTTTCTTTCTCTGCTTTGAAATCATGAAATAAGGGGCCAGGGAGAAAGCTAGGTAGAATAAGAGCTTGCCTGGCAAGTGCAAGGGCCTGAGTTCAATCCCCGGTTCCGCAAAAAAAAAAAATCATGAAATATGCTGAAATGCATATGAGTCTATCTCACCTGAAACTTAGGGTTTAACAAACCGTTTTTACTCAAAGGAAGGCTGGTGCATAGGGAACAGAGCTGAAATCTAATTTATATCCAATATGGAATCTGAAAAAGGCCAATATGCTTAAGCCTTGATCGATTTTCAAAAGTTTTATTTCTCCACATCTGGAAAGATTTTATGGCTACTCTGGAGATACAACTGTTCAAAGATGGAAGTAAAGGGAAGAACAAGTCATAAACATTAGTTCTCATACTTTTTTTTTTCATTTTATGTATGTGGTACAGGGTCTCACTATGCAGCTTGGACTAGCAGTGATCCTCCTGTTTTTAGCTTCCCCAACATTGGGATTACAGGCATGTGCCACCATGCCCAGACTTGATCTCTGGCTCAGTGTGCCCCAGGGGCAGGGGCAGAGTAGCATGAGAGACTAGGTATCGAACCCCTGGTCCCTGCGCTTGCCAAAGCACTGAGCTATCTCACCAGCCCTCATACTTTCTTAATATTTGTGTGTGTGTGTGTGTGTGTGTGTGTGTGTGTGTGTGTGTGAATACTTAAAAAACACATGAGGACATCATCTGAAGTAGTCACTCTTCTAGCGCCTTGAGCACACCGCAAACAAAACATGTAAAAAGTATCAGCCATCATGAAGCCCATATTCTAGTGGGGGAGGAAAGAAGACAGTCAATATAAAATAAGTGAAAGAATTTATTGTCATTATTATTTATTGATATTATTATTTAAGTGCTTTGGGGTAAAATAAAGCTGCAAAGAGAGTATGTGACACAATTTTAGACAAGAAGCCTATTAGGGGAAGCATCCCCCAAAGGTGACTTCTGAGTAGGCAGCTGTGGAGAATGAGGAAGGCAGGCGTCTGGAGACAGCAGTCAGGCAGTAGGGGGCATGCAAAGGCCCTGGGGAAAGAGACTGCTGGTCTACCCCCAAAGCAGCAAGAAGGCCTGGGTCTGGGGCTGAGACAGTGAGTGAGAAAGAAAGAACTAGGAACCCCTTTCCATTATGCATAGGAAAAACCTTCACAGAAAGCAGATTCCAGGTACAGAACGGGAAGAAGGAGACAGAAGAAGGAAGGAAAAAGGTGCTGTTACCAGGCTAAGCTGGATTGGTGTAGAATGTCCACCAAGAATCTGGGGTTCCTGTTGATATCTGGAGCCACAGACAAGTAAAAATAAGTACTGTATTAACACCTTGGGACATGACTTCCATGATAGGAGGATTTATTCCAGGTCTCACTAATAAACACAATATTTATAATTCATGTAATTTTACTGTAGTAGTCAGTTTTTTATCACTATAACAAAATACCTGAGATGATTAACTTACACAGAGAAAATATTTACTTTGGCTGACAGTTTTGGAGGTCCCAGTCCATGGCTGATTGCCCCATTCCTGTGATGGCTGATTGCCCCATTCCTCTTCCTCGGGGCAGAAGAGTGTTGTAGAACAAATGCACTAACATCAAGAGCCACAGAGGGAGAAAAAAAAGAGGGGAAGAGACTAGAGCCTCACAATCCCCTTCAAGGACATTCCTCAATGACCTGAATTCCTCCCACTAGGCCCTGGCTCTTAGAAGTTCTACCACCTCACCCTGGCACCACCCTGGAGACCTTTAACACATGGCATTGGAGTATAGTCAAGATTTGAACTATAGTACTACTTTCTTATAAAAATATAATACCATAAATTTGCATCATATAAAATTTAAAAAGACAGAAAGAAGATCCACTGGACTTTCCTCCCCTCTAATCTCAGGTCAGTTTCTGGGTGGGGGCAATTGTTCTGCACCAGTCAGCCTTCACTTCACAGGCTTTTCAGTCTGTCCACCCTTCATAGAGTTCACAGGGCTGCGCTCCAGGATACCACAGCCTCTCCTCCTTCCCGTGGGGCTGGTTACCTATCTGGTGCTTCCAGACATACAAACTATGTATGCTTGCTTCTTAGCTGGGCTTCCAAAAGGTTGGTTCCAAAATGATTAGATATTGGTTGACAGATGCGAGGTCAATAACAGAAAAGAAAAGAAAGGAGAAAGTCCAAGTCCCCTCTGCCCCCCTTCACCTATTTAATAGCATATTGGACCTCTCTAACCCAGGATGTGTTGCCCAGATGTTCAAATTTCTGGTATAGCTCTTGAGATTGAAAAGAACAATATTGATCTACAAAACTGGTAATCTCATACAAACCAATCTAATCTTCTGATTCTCTCCTCTTGTTCTAATAATTATGAAATTAGGTTTCTCTCTCCCTTTCCAGGAACAGATCATCAACATCAGCTCTCTTGTTCAGCTGAAATCCATGGTTTAGAATTTGGTCTTCTTTCTGGGCCAGCTAAGCTGCTTTTCCAAGGGTGATTGCTGTCCTTCCTTCTTAGATTCTGATAGATATTTCTGGAAAAGCTAACCAACACAACAAAACAAGTTCTCTCCACCTGCTCTGGTGACCTTATAGTTCTAAATTATGTCCCTTGAGCCTATATACCCACTAGCTAGACCATTTTTACAAAAGGCTATGGAGGTAGCTGAATTATAAAATAATAACATATTATCAAACATTAATTCAGAGAAATTTATATTTATTGAATATCTACCATGTACAAGGACTTGTGAGGCAATGTCAGGACAAGAACAGATATCAGTTCTTTCCTCCAGGAGGTAGTTGGGAGGAACTAAAGCACATAGCATAAACAAATGCAATGTAGTGACATAGGACATCAACAGGCACAAAAGCAGTGCTGATGGGAGGCTCCTGCAGCTCAGACGACAGAGACCCTGCTCTCCTGTGCGATGAACCCTTGAGAAATGCCCCAAGAAGATGGTGGCAGATCAGCTGGGCTCCAGTGAGTCATAAAAGGCAGGAGCATCTTACTCACACCCTCAGAACTGAACTGAAGTATTGGGCAAGTGCCTTGGTTGCAGTGGTAGGCCCTTGACAAACACAGGTTTCATTTATGCCTCACAACAGCCTTTTGAGGTAGGGCTTATATAATCCCCATTTCATAGATGGAAAATAGGTGCAGAGATTCAGTAACCTACCCAAAATAATCCCTAGAATCCATAAGTAGAGGAACCAGAAATCAGTCTGATCACTCAGATGGGAAGCCCCTCTATCTTAGGGGACCCAACCTTCTTTAATGGACAGACACTTCCCTGACCCAGATTGTTTAACTTCTAGCTCCTGGATCATCATTGCTGTCTCTTGGGCTGGAGATATAGCTCAGTGGCATGAACGCCTACCTGGCAAGTGCAAGGTCCTGAGTTCAATCTCCCATACCACAAAAAGAAAAAAGAAAAAAAAAAAAAAGGTGAGATGTAGGAAATTGCTGCCAATAGGCCCTGATATACCGTCTTACATCATTACTCTCTCTTGCTCTCTCTCTCTTTTTTTTTTTTTTTTTTTTGGCGGAACAAGGGATTGAACTCAGATCCTTGTGTTTGCCAGTCAAGCGCTTATCCTACTGAGTCATCTCCCGGGCCCCTCTTGCTCTCTTTTGTCAATGTCTCTGATTTCCCAGGGCCAGGGGCCCAGACTCCAGACCTTTCTCTCAGTAGGTGGCAGTGGGTCCTGACTGGATAATCAAGGTCAACAGAGTATACTTCATTTGTTGTCCACCCCCCTCCCCAGTAGCCCAATGTTTTCATGAGGTCAAAATGATTATAATTCCCGGGAACTACTTTGGGGAATTACATGCATTGGGGGCAGTGGTGCTGGTGGATGGCAACATTTTTAGTTAAGGGAAACTCTGGACCCTTCCTTCTCAAATTATGCAGTGATGTGAATGGTTCTCTAGGTAGCAGAAACTGTCTCCTCCCCTAACAATTTGTATAATGATAAGAAAATACAAGTGCTAAATGTGATACCTTGGCCTTTTAGCTACTCTTTTAAGGCTACCCTCTTGAAGGTTCCCAGTATCTCATTGCATTTAGGCTATATTCTTTTCTGAATTTCCAGTGGTAATTGTTTTAGCTGTATCAGAGCAGAGAAATAGACAAATCAAATCCCAGTCCCCTGAACTAATTTCTAGAAAGGATATTAGCTATAAGTAAATATATAATATGAGGTCAGGTAGAAGTAAATACCATAAAGGAAAATGTGCAGAAACAGAAGTAGTGTGAAAAAGGTTCATCTTTTAGATAAAAGGACCAAGGAAGGCCTTTGGAGGACCAGGAAAGGTAAAAATATTTTTACTTGAGTAAAAATATGCATAGAGCGAGGGAGTAAGCCATGGGAAAAGATAGAAGACAAAAAGCACATCAAGCCCTTAGTTCCAGGGGAGGGTACATGGTCCACATGTTGGAGGATCAGTAAGGGCCCCGTAAAGTGCTGAAGACTGACTGAGCTCTGGTGGCTTATTTGTTTGTACTTTCTGGGCACAATGATGACAATACTTCTCATATTTCCCAGAAGAATTCCAATTTTACGAATCTCATTCTTATTAAATGATGCATTGAACTTGTAACAAAATGTGATTTAATATGTATGCTCTTGAAAGGTTTTCCCTAATAAATATAAATTCAGATGTCTGAAAAAATATTCTTTGTCACTTATCTTAATTTAGGTTTCATAAAATAAAAGTGCTTAAAGAGTTATGTGTTTGATCTTTAATCTGGGCCCCTTTCTTGGAATCCTTAGGGATAAGAGGATCCAGCTCAAGTGAAAATAAGCAGATATTCCAACTAGTTAGAAGAAAATCTACAAATTAGCTTAATTTCTCAGATTTAGATAGCCTCAATGTCAACCAAGAAGAAGAGGACCAGAGGAGAGTAAAATATCTTGAAGAAATTTCTGTGGCATGTACCTTGACAGACTGAAGTCTAATAAAGTCAGTAGCAAATGCCCATATTTTATCATGTTAACTAATTGAACTCCAGGTCATTTCTAAGCAGATAATCTGTAATCTGTCCTCCAACCTAGCCCAATGCCAATGGGCTTAGGGGGTTATCCATCATCAGTCTTTGTATCTGAAGTACTCCACCATTCATAAAGTAGACTGATACAGTATATTAATATATCCATAACATGATGACTAATATCAAGAGACTAACCTTGGTTATGTCAGGATGAAACATACAAACTCTATATGGCTATGCAAGACAAATCTCATGCACACCCCCAGCCTGATCACATCCTCAGTCCAAAGTTACATACAGGGTAAAATGAACATGATGATTTGTAAAAGCATGAAACTCTTCTTTTAATGCCAAATCTCTTCAGCCGTTACTACTGCCCAAGCTATGACTCACAGTCAGGTAACTTTAGTTTTGGGTGAACATTACTTTTTAACATAAAGTTGCTCAGAAAGCCTTTAGGTAGGGCCAGGGAAAGAAGGAAAAAGTGACACTGCCTCTTTCTAGTCTTTAAGAAGAGCCTCCTGGGGAAAGTTTTGGAAAGAGAAATCTAGAGGACTATGAACAGGAGCTATGAGAACAAAACGGAAGGAGTGGCCACCTGCAGGCTTTGAAATAGGTAACAGCCACGCAGTGGAGGTGATACTGAAATTATTTTAACCTTTCTTGGAGTTGTGACATCAAACACTCTACTCTGGTATCTCCTCCCTGGGCTCCAAACTTACACTGACATAAAAGTGCCTATTCAAAGCTAACACTAGGCATAAATATCAAGGAGACCGAATCTTCCTGCATAGCCTTATACCCCGTCAGTTCCCCGAAGTTCACGAATGCTCCATCAGGGTCTTGGCAGAAATCAGCACGCACTCCAGGTGGGTGATAATGAGGAGACTGATCATATTGAAGGGACTTCTTGTGAAGACTGCTGATGGGCACCCCAAACTAGAACCCGCAGGGAGTCATTGTCACTTCTAGGGTTAAAGTGATACACCAAAGAGGTTGGTTACTGTAGCTCAGGGGGACCTAAGACCATAAAGAAAGGGTTCTCAGGCTAAACTATATTATCAAGTGACTTATCTGCACCAGAGATATTACAGAAGGAGCAAGAAAGGCATATCCCAACCTCTTTTTCCTCCCGTTCTTCATTCTCCCTTCCCTCAGTGCCTTCCACTAGGTGAGCCCACACAAAAATTAGTCTGCAAGGGAGACCTGGTGGTACAGTCTGTAGCAATCCATCTCTAGGACATGAAAGAGAACAGGGAAAGACAATGCCAGCAAGCAGAAGAAGAAGAACCAGCACTGACAGCCTCCTCGGCTCATTATATCTTACTTGCTTTATTTCTTATTCTATCAATTATCAAAATTCCAAATGTTCACATCCAGAGGTACCATAGTATTGTGGAAAAGCTCTGGACCTAAGGTCAAAAGATTGCTTACTATGTGAACAAAGTCAATCTCTAGACCTAGAGAGAAATTGAGCGCTTATCTTTAAAAGGAGATGTGAGCCTACCAAAAGAGTTAGTGAGCTCATCACCTGGGATAGTATGTTTAAGGAATATTGTCTCATTATGGGAGAGTTACTTGTGGATTTTATGCAGGTACTACATGAACTCTTCCCCTTCTAAAATGATCATCCTTTAGCTCCCTCCTTCCTCTTCTCATCTTCTGCCTCTTATCTTCATCCCCTTTCATTCCCATTTCTGAATTAATGATGAGACCTCCAGGGTTAGTTTTTCAGGGAAGCAGAAACTATGTCTGTCTTATATACTGTCGTGTCCCTAAAGTCCCTGGCACAAGGTGGGGCACCAACCAATAGCTATAGAAATGATGCTCAGATGGCTCCGAGGAGCTCCTTCCTGACATGTTCATCAGTCACCATCTACAGTGGTGCCCTCCCTCCAGTGCCAGCGCTCCACTCAGAATTGTTGCCTAGGACAGAGTAGGCTGATGCTTCCTGCTCCCCCAAAAGCTTTCTCATGTATTTGAAGAAACAGAAGGCTTCTGCTTCCCCACTGACATGAGCCCACTAAACAATGAAAAACTCTTCCTTCTATTCCACTCACATTTCTTATCCTCATGGAACAAGCCCAGAGCCATGGCTTCATCTTTCTGGGGTCTTCTGTTACACAGAGCTTGTGGTAAGGAACAAAAACAATGATAAATGTGAGCATTGGATCTACTCCACTGTTGAGTGCCCTGAAACTCTGACTATAATCCTGAGGCTCACTAAGTTAGAAAAGCAGAGAAATAAAAGGAAAAAAGAAAGGCAGGAGAGGATATGAGTGAAAAAGAAAGGAGGCAGTGCTCTGAGGGAAAGTGAGGAAGTTATCAGAAGGGTCTTTCCAGAGTGGCTTCCACCCCTTCATCAAAATCCTACAAATAATACAACAGAAAACTATTCAGGTGGCCGATAGCTACTTCAAGTCCTGTGTGATACACATGCACTTCTGTCCGTGGCTGCTTCATGCTTCCATAAGTTTTAGAAAGCAACGCTGTTGTCCCTAGGCCATCTCAGCTTTAGAACTAGAGGCAAAGAACACTTGGGATACTCACGAGCATGGGTGAACTTCACCATCAACACAGTGATGAGAGATAACAAGAGGACCATCAGCCCTCACGACAGTGCCTCTCTTTCCAAAACTGTCAGTTCCCATTAATCCTTTCCGAGAACTTACACTCGAATCACTCACTCCTAGGTGATTTAGCAATAACACATAGGACCCTCTACCAATAAGAACAGGAGAAAATACGTTGTGTGATCAGTTGCTAGGTAGAAGAAAGATGTTCAAAATGAAAGTAGTAACTGTTAACCCTTTGTTGGTTTCAAACAAGTCAAGCTCTATTTTGTATTCCTCTCTCCACTTTCCACCCAATTTTAAAATATTTATAAAGAATGGCTGTAGGCCCTGCAGTGCTAGCCCTGCTCCCAGGGCACCCTGAGACTGTAATTGCGACTGGGCGTGGTGGCACGCACCTGTATTCCCAGCTCTTGGGAGCCTGTTAAAAGGAAGATCACTACAAGTCTGATCTAATAGTGAGACCCTAAATACCCTGTAGACTCTTCCCTAAAATACAAAAAAAAAAAAAAAACAGTTACATGCAAGGTATAGGGACACAAAAACAATAACGCATAATTACTCAGAGAGTTCAAGATGCTACCTTTGTTTCTTCCTGGAGTTTAGATTTTGTTCAGGGCTCAATGAGAAAATCACACCAAGTTCCCAGGGTCTGGAATTCTCCACTCTGACTCCCCCCAATGTCTGATATAGCATATACTCCAGAGGTCATATATTGATACTATGTATCAGTTAGATTGTCCTATATTTTTTGGCTTTTGTCTGTCTGCCTTCTGGAGATGGCACATTAGGCCCCCAACTTCTTATGGAAGAGGACCTTTGAGAAGATTCTGAGGGGCACTTCTTCAGCTTGCTCAACCCACAATCTCTTGGATCAAGCTGTAGCTATACTGTCATCAAAACCACATGACAAGTTAGAAAACAACAGTTTACACTCTGAGGATCTGAAGCACAGGCCCAGACAGGAAAGAGGAAGTGGAGGTGAACAGGCAAGAAGATTGGAGGCAGGGCCATGAAGCAGTTCAGGCCAGAGCCCAGGTTCAAAACCTTGTTTGCGTTCCAGCCATTTGCCTCTAGGTAGAATCCCAAAGTGCACTGAGGCTTGCTATCTTCAACTGTGAAAACAAATCCTAGCGTGCATTTCACAAGAGACTTGAAGGAGGACTTCACAAGGTTCTGTCTGTTATGCACTTGAGAAGCAGCAGAACTGTACATACTGGTTTCTCTCTCTTGACAGCCTGAATATGCCTCAAAGATGTCCGCATTCTAATCCCCAGAACCTGTGAATGTGCTGCTTTACATAGCAAAAGGGACTTTGCAGATAAGGATCTTGAGATGGAGAAGATTATCCTGGATTATCTGATGGGCCCAGTGTGGTCCCAGGATCCTTATTAGAGAGAGGTGAAGGGTCAGAGCTGGAGAAAGAGGTATGACAGTGGATGCATAGGTCAGAGTGATGCCACCTTGGAAAAAGCACATGAGCCAAGGAACACAGACAGCCTCTAGAGCTGGAACAAGAAACTATAGGTTCCCCCCAGGCCTCCTGAAGGGGTACAGCCCACCAACACATTGATGTCCATAAGACTCACTTTCCAACCTCCCGGCCTCTAGAACTGCACTGTTTCAGGTCACTACATTTGCTATGATTTTGTATAGCAGCAATAACAAACTGATACCTCTTCACCCAAGGGAAAAGAAGAAACCAAATAATGAAATTCATATTTGGTGACCCCCTAAGCACCTCTTTGCACCTTCTCTGCTCCTTGTGTTTTTGTCTTCCTTTACTTCTTCCTTCCTTTGTTCTTTGTTACACATTTAATAAGTATGTATACCCTTGTGTCCCTCCCAAAGACTTCTGGAAGTCTCTTGCTGGTGCTGGAGTTACATGTGTACTGTTGGGACTTTGGAGCTTATTACTACACACAGAGAATCCCTATTAGTACTCTTGAACCATCTCAAATAACTATATGACTTTTAAAAAAGAGAATAGGTTGTCATACAACCTCAGTCCCAGTACCCTGTCCCTGCTGTGCAGCCAAACTACATTCTGGAAGGTTCTCACATGGAAATTTTGGAGTTGATTATGAAGATAATGCTTATATACCACTTTAGCAATATGTTTAGTAAGTACTTACTATACATCAGACATACTGAGTACATGCAGGCAATTACCTACTACTATAACTTTTTGCATTTCTGATTATTCAAGTAAACCTTTCATTGTTGAAACTTCTCAAAATTTATTTATCTTATTTAGTTTATTTTACTTTACGGGGCATTGAGATGGGTCTCACTTTGTAGTTCAGGCTGGCCTTGAACTCACTGTATAGCCCAAACTGATCTCGAACTCCTGGTGATTCCCATGATGATTCTCCTGGCTTAGCCCCCGGAGTGCTTGTATTACATGTGCGTGCCACCATGCCCAGCTAAAGCTCATCAACTCCTTTTTCCCCCCATTTCTGGGGAACTAAACGCAGGACTTCATTTATGCAAGGTGAGAACTCTGCCGTGGAGCTACAGTGCCAGTACCAAACTGCAAATACATCTTTTTTCTATTTATGAAACTTTTCTATGTAGAAAATCTTTTCTATGTATGAAAATGAATAGTTCAAGACATCTCATATTGGCCAGGCGTGGTGGCACATGCCTGCAATCCCAGCACTCAGAAGCCTGAGGCAGGAAGATGAGTTCAATGTCAGCCTGTGCTACATAGTAAGTTCAAGGTCAGATTGAACTACATACTGAGGACCTGTCTCAGAACAAAACAAAACTCATACACGCAATTTTGTGTCATGCTGTTTTCACTCAAGCCACTCCCACATCATCACATACTTTAAGCCACAGTTCTAATGAGCATCAATAGATATTCCATAAATTCTTATTTTTATTTTTTATCTTTTGATCAAACTCAGGACCTTGGGCTTGCCAGCTAGGCTCTTATGCCACTGAGCTACCTCCCCAACCTCCACAAATTCTTACCAGTGTTAAATTTTCTACCTAGTGTTAAATATGTAAGCTGACCAAAATTATTCTTTGTTTATTTTAAACAGACCAGGAGGGTAGGAGTATTGGTAATAACCAAAGAGAGGAAAGAAAGCATAACCAGTGTTTGGATTCAGTGTGGCTATGCCTGTGGCTGAGGTGAAAACCCGCATAACCACAGCTGGATCAGCTGAACTTAATAAAGCAGATGTTTCCTGGAAGATCCCAGAGGATACACACGCACAGCAGGTTTCGCTAAAGCTGGAATAATGAAGATTACACAACTTTACATCTATGTAACACTTTTCTCCTCTTACTCTATATCTATTTAACATTTTTACTCTATCTTGTTTCACAAAGGACTTAGAGCAGACTCACCAAAACAAACAACCCAACTAAAAAACAGGCAAAAACTTGGAGAGACATTCTTTAAGGAAGACACACGAATGGCCAATAAGCACATGGAAAGAGGCTTAATGGTACTCATCTTTAGGGGGATGCAAGTTGCAACAATGCACCTCATACCTGCTATTAAAAACACAAGAAAATCAGAAAGTTACAATGTTGGTCAGGATATGGAGAAATTGTAACCTTTGTGCATTTTTAATAGGAATGCAAAGCAGTATAGCCACTACAGAAAACCATTTTTGAAAAAATCTGAAATGAAATTGTTATATAATCTACTAGCATCTAGGGACTATCGATAACCAATGGGATTAAACGCAGGATTTTGAAGAGATATTTGTGCACCTGTGTCTTAGTTACTTTTCTTGTAAGACAAAAATACCTGACATTCAAAGTTCAAAGAGGAGGGCTGGCCAGATATCTCAGTGGACTAAATAGCCGGGTTAGGCAAAGCACAGCTGCCAGGCTTCCATCCCCGGCATGCTGTGCTGGCCCCACCCCCAGGGCACACTGAGACAGTGACTGAGACTGGGTATGGTGGCACACGCCCATAATTCCAACTCTTGGGAGGCTGAAAACAGGAGGATTACCATGAGTCCAGTCTGTGCAGTGAGAGCCTGTAGACCCTGCAGACCCTGTACTAAATACATTTTTAAAAAAGTTAAAAGAGGAAAGAAAGGTTTATTTGGCTCAGAGCTTGTAGAGGTTCCAGTTCATAGTTGGCAGACTCCAAGGCAGGGTGACAAGGCAGAAGGTCATCACAAAGTAGTGAAGTATATGTCCTGCTGAAGCAAGTAACATAAAGCAGTGAAGGAGCAAAGCAGCAAGTAGCAAACAGCAGGCAAGCAACAAGTGACAAGACCCTCTTTCTGTCCCTTATATTTCATGCAGGCTACCCACTCCAAGGGCAGGTAACACTCATACTCTTAGTCCTAGCATCAAACTGTGAATCAATCCCAGTATCACATCCTTGATCCCAGGATCATACAGCTTAGATTCAGCCACCTCCAAAATGGCCCACCTATGACTGCATGTTTGGAGGGACATCCGAGTCACAAGCCATAACAATCTATGTTCATAGTAAGATTATTCATGATACAAAAAGTGACAGCAATGCAAACGCCTAGCAATGGATGAACAGATAAACACAATGTGGTATATACAGTAAGACATCATTTGGTCAGAAGAGAAATTCTGCAATACCCTATAGTATGGACAAACCCTCGGGACACTATGAGCAGTGAACAAGCAAGTCATAAAAGACAGGTCCTGCATGATTCCACTTACATGAAGTACCTAGTGTAGTAAAATTCATAGAGACAGAAAGTGGAAAATGCTTGCCAGAGATTGGGGGATGGGACAATGGAGAGTTGTTTGCATGGTACAGAAGCTTCAGCTTTGCAAGATGAAGAGTTCTGGAGATTGGTTGCACAAGGTGAATGTACTTAACATTATAGTGTTGTACACTCAAAAGTGGTTGAGTGAATTTTATGTTGTGTGTAGTTTTTATCAAAATTAAGAAAAACATCTTTGGGGTTTTTAATATTTATGTATGTATTTGTTTATTTTGTATTTTTAAAGATAGGGTTTCACTATGCAGTTCAGGCTGGCCTTGAGCTTGCAACAATTCTCCTGCCTGAGACTGAGTGCTGGAATAACAGGTGTGCACCACCATACCTGACTTTAAAAAAATGACAAAAACACCAACCAATTTTATGACAAAGTTTAGCATGGTTTATATTATTTCATACTTCACAAAATGTAGCCTATATAGAAGCCCGGTTATGACCTTCATGATAACCTTGGAAGGGAACAGGTATCACTATTTCCATGTTAGAGGGGGTGGAGTCCCCTTGGAAAGGTGTTTGAACACTTCCACAGCTTTAGGGAGAGGGCTGGCTGCACCGCAACCTCTCAGTCTGTTGCGGCATCCTAGTGACGGAATTATTTCATCCTTTCTGACCCTCATTGGCTGTTTCGCTGGGCTACCTGTGCCCTATGCTCACACTGCTGAGTGTTGGAGCCTCACTGAGGGGCCGGAGAGTCTCCCAGGTGCCCTCTCGGGGTGCTACAGAAAAAATTCAGTGCCTCACTCTCCATTAGCAAGGTGAAAAGAATTTAGCTGTCGTAGTGGGCTAAGTTTTGACAAACACCCCTGTAAACCACATCCTGTCAAGATACAAAGCATTTCTAGCTCTTCAGAAAGTCTGTCTTCCTCAGTCAATACTCTCTACCTGAGGCAGCTGCTGTTTTTCTCCTCTCTCCCTGCCTCTCTCACTTCCTCCCTCCTCTGCTAACTTTCTTTCTTTCTTTCTTTCTTTCTTTCTTTCTTTCTTTCTTTCTTTCTTTCTTTCTTTCTTTCTTTCTTTCTTGAAAGGGTCTACAGGATGTTCAGGGTCTCACTATAGATCAGACTCATAGTGATTCTCCTGTTTGCAGCCTCCCAAGAGCTGGGATCTGATTGAACCCCCAGCTCCTGGGCCTGCTTGCAGGCACTTTAATCTGCTGAGCTATTTGGCTGGCCCCCCTACCTTTCTTTTTGTAGCTCAGGCTGGTCTTGAACTTGTTATGATCCTTCTGCCCCATCCTCCCAAGTGCTGGGATTACAGGTATGCGCCACCATGTGTGACTTTCTTTCTTTCCCTTTCTTTCTTTCCCTTTCTTTCTTTCCCTTTCTTTCTTTCTTTCTTTCTTTCTTTCTTTCTTTCTTTCTTTCTTTCTTTCTTTCTATTTCATTTCTCAAAGTTCCTACATAGTTCAGGCTGGCCTTGAACTCACGGCAATCCTCCTGCTTCAGCCTCCTAAGTGCTGGACTACAGGTATCTACCACCTTCCCCAGGAACTGTTTTGATATTTTACTCTGAGAGAAATATTAATTCCAGTATGGGAATTGGACACAGGGCTTTTGTATGCATGGTAGAGGTCTACCAGTTAGTTACTTTCTCAGGTGTTCCGTTTTGTTTTGTTTTGTTTTGAGCTAGAGTCTCCCTATATTGCCCAGGCTGGCCTTGAACTTGTGACACTCCTGCCTCAACCTCCTGTGTAGCTGAGCACCCATGTGTGGGGATACTGATTTAAATTCTTTAGGGAGGTGGGGGCTGGGGCTGGAAGCGTGTGAGGAGATGGCTTTTTGCTAAGTATTCTTCCTAAGCTATTGTTCAGGCAGGGACCTGGGCTCTTACACAGGGGAGGAGAGGAATGGCCCAACAACAAAGATATAACTTCCTTTGTTTCTACTTGCCTTGTAGCTAAAGCTTCCCCTTCCTTGGAACAGCGAAACTCCCTTGCAGTTTTCTTATCTCAGTTCTCCAATATCTCCACTGCTGTGCTTTTTCCAAAGTCCTAATTATTGGGATTTCTAAACCTATGTTTTCCAACATATGTTTTCAATTTAAAACACTCTGCCAGCTGACTTTTGATCCAATTAGTAAATTCATTGAACAGATAATAACAGGCAGTGCTAGGCCCTGAGGTGGTAGAACATTACCCTAGCATCCAGTCCCTCTCATAGTTATGGTTTGGTGGGGAAACTCAACATACTCGCAGCCACCCTATATCAAATCCTCCTCCTGAGTTCTCTTTCTTGGTGAGTGGAACCAGCTACCCACTTACAGCCCCAAGGCCCTGCAACCATTTCCCCTCTTGTCTCACTACTCAACAGGAACCAACCAGTCACCAAGTCTATGGGTTTTGTCCCTAATGTAGTTCTCAAATGCATTACTCCTCCCTGCCTTGGTTGCCATGACTCAGAAATGGGGGTTGCCTAGTCAGGGTTCCCTCATCCCTCATCTGGACCATGACCATCTAGTCACTGTAGCACCTGTCTCAAATACTAACCTGACCAGTCAATTGACTTCCCATAATCCACAGGACAGAGTTCACTGTCCTAAACGTCACCAAGGTTCCCAACACCTCCAGCCCTAGCAACTGCTGCTGTAGCCAAATGTTTGCTGTGGCTCCTCAGGTGCTACGCTGTCCTGCGTCATGCGCAACCTGTTCTCACTTCTCCTAGACACTGTTTAGAACATCTCCCTCTGGCCCCAGCACTGACATACACGCAAGCGAACTGGTGTCTTATCTCTGGTACCAGGGCTGTGCATTTTGTGTTTTTTGAGACAAAGTCTCCTTATGTACTTTAGACAGGCATCGGACTCAAAATGTAGCCCAGGCTGGGGTTGAACTCATAGCAATCCCCTACCTCAGCCTCCTGAGAACTGGGATAACAAGTGTGTACCACCATACCTGGTTTGGGGCTATGCATTTCTATGGCAACCTGCGTCCTCTTCTCATTGTGTACAGCTGCTTGTCTCTCTCACTGGTCTGAGAGTTTCTTGGAGCTGAGGACTAACTCTTACTCATCTCTGTGTCCTCAGTGCCTAGAACAGAATAGGGCACAACATAGGCCAGGCACTGTCCTAAGTCCCTTCTATACACCCATTCAATCTTTGTGACACTCTATGAGGAAGATGCTACTGTATCCACTTCACAGTTGAGGACCCTGAGAGCCCAAGAAGCTTGTTCAAGATATACCAAACTGGAAGTAGCAGAAATAGCATTTAAACTCAGGCCATCAGGCTCCATACATGGCTCTGAATCACCATGCTCAAGTGTGGCTCAATATCTATGTGTTCATTGGATGAATATTACCCCATTTCACCTCCCGGTCTACAACCAGTATGTCCGCAGCCAAATTAAGTAATTTTCCCCCAATAGTTTCCTCTACCCGTATGTCTCCAGTGTTCCTCCAGGGTCGCAGAGAAGCCTGGAATCTTTGGCTTCTACCTCGCTCTTCCCTCCCTTCCTCCACCTTATTCATTCCATCCTGTCTTTGTTTTGTTTTGTTTTGCCTTAGAAACATCAGATTAGCTCCTTCCCCTCCATTCTCAACTGCTGTCATCCTAGTCTGTTCTTTTCCTTCCCCTGGGTGACTACAGCAGCTTCCTGACTTCCACTACTTCCCTTCTTTAGGACCTTAGGTTTACACGCATTTTTATTTAACCTCATAACCCATGAGCTAGACACTGTTATTTACGTTTTAAAGATGAGGAACTGAATGATAGAGTACAGATTTAAAGGGTTGCTTGACTCTGAGGACTCTGTCTGATCCAAAGAGATTGGTGATCTTGGGAAAGTCCCTAGACCTTCCAGCGTCTCAGATTCCTCATTCATAATAGAGAATAAATAAGAGCAATTACCTCATTGTGAGGGCAGCAGGGAAAACAGCAGAACCCTGCTACACAGTAAGTGCTCAGTGATACTCAGCAATTAAAACTCACAATCCCCACCCAGGAAGGTCATAGCGTATCTAGCACACAATTGTCTAATCATTCTGGGAAAGTTCTTGTACCGTGGCTGAGAGGAAGGTACCATATTTGGCCTCTTTTTTAACCCTCAAAAGTGGTCTCTCCTGGAAAACGCCATAGCCTGTTTTTAAAAATTACCTGAGCAGTAATTTGCAAAATGTGCTGTAACAGAAAATACACCCCATCTGGCGGGAAGAGCACAGAATTTGTGCCTCTGGCTGTCCAGGTGTGCAACCACACGAGATCTTGAAGCCTCTCTGAATTTCAGAATCTTCAAAGTGGGACAATACCATCCGCATAAGAGTACTGAGATAATGCACACAGCTTTTAGTACATTTCACAATCTAAATAAAGGAGTTAGGCGGCCTTATCATCATCAGATAATATGCAAGAGAACAGTTTAGTAAGTGAAGAATGAGACGGATTTATATCATCCATTATCCAAATCAAGTATTAGAAGTAAAGGAAAAGGAAAAGTATTATATAAATCAGGGATAGCTACAGCTTTCCAAACCTGTGGGGCCCTAAAGCCTGAGGAAGAGCACAGCCCACCTCCTCCAGAGTCCCGCCCCTATCCCAAGTGACGCATATTCAGATCCCGCCCACGGGGGGGCGGAGCCGTTCTTGTTCACGTCAGCACAAGTGCGGAAGTGGAGCAAAGAGCCTCGCTTGTGATTGGCTGCGGCTGAGGGCCCTGGGGGCGGGGTCAGGGCGACAGAAGCGCTGAGGGGAGGCTGCTGCTGGGGCCGGCTCCGGAGTCCGGGATTCGGCCCGTGGTGCTGACCTAGCGCTGGACCAGCGATCGTCCGGGCACCCTGGCCTGAGCGCCCGCCTGCTGCTCTGGGTCCTCCTGGCCGAGACGCAGGAGGCCAGAGAGTGAGCAGAGGAAGGCCAAGAGGGCGCGAGCGCCCTGTGCGCGGAGCTGCGGAGGCGGCCAGGGGCCCGGACGCCATGTCCATGGAGGACCCCTTCTTTGTGGTGAAGGGGTGAGTGTGGGTCGTGGGCTCCACGGGCGGAGGGAGCGGCGGTGCTGGCAGCTCCCGGGCCTCCTCCCTGTAGGGGGAGGAGAGGCAAGTTGAGGTCGGGAGGGGACGGGGAGAGGGCTTAGCCTTGGGGGCCGAGGGCAGGTACCGAGACATCTCCCGTCCCACCTGAAGTGGGAAGCCGGATCCTCTCAGCGGACACCCTCCCCGGCCGGGGTCCCCTTGTGACCTGAGAGTTGCAGGTGCGGTACAACTTACTTGGAGGTCGAGGGGTTCGGCAGCGCTGCAGGTGGGGAAGGAGGACTGGGGGCTGCCTCGAGCACAGGACCTTGCCTGGAAGGAGGCAAAACAGCATCTGGGCAGGAAAAGGGAAATGACCCTCGTGAGCTTTGTAGTTGGCGTGGACAGGGGCGAGCTCCATTGTCCATTGAGTTGGGAGCGCTCGCCCGCAGACTGGCGAGACCTCAGCGTGCCCGGAGGCGTCTGAGCACGTTTGCAGGGCGGCGGGCGGGGGCGGGTGTTGATCTGGGAAGCTGGGGAGCCCGGCGCAGGAAGACAGCTCGAGTCCCGGCCTGGGGGAAGCTCCTAATGGGAGGAAAGCAGTCCTTGCTCGGTGCTGATGTTGGAAGGAAAACAAAATGAAACCAGCCAAACTAAACTTTGCTGGGCTTTCTGTGAACAACTGGGATTTTCCCACAGTGCTAAAGGAAATGACTTCGCTTTTAACTCCTTTATTTCATACAGGTTTTCTGACAGGTTTCTCCCTCTACTGCTTACTCTGCCTTTCAGAATTGGGAGCTGTCCTCACTCCATCTTTGAGTGCCAGATTGGAGATCCGTTGAAACTTGAGTTGTACTTCGTTGTCTTAGCTTTGTAGCCTTCAATCCAATGACAGAAAAGCTCAATTCTGATGTCATAACCTATTTCTGATAACTTCCCAGCTTTATGTTTCTAATGTCACACAAACGTGAAAAATCTGAGAATTGCCAAGTTCATAGAAGATGAGTAAAGTGTTCCCTCAACTTTCAACTAGTTGCTACTCGCTTCCTATTCAAAGTGGCAAAGACTGACGAGTTGTATGGGTATTTGTTTTTGTATTTAAGGGTTCTCAGAAAATTTAACTGTACTTCCAACGATGTATTTTATTCATGATACAGTAAAGTATATACAATTTAACATTTCCCTGAAAACGTTTTTCTTCACCTGTAATTTAGATGAGAAAAGGGCAAGTTGTAGATATACTAGTGATATTGGTTCTCTACTTGGAACGTGTGTTATTTATGAGAAGAATTGATTGTCTAATTTTTCGTCCTGAATGACTTTTAGAAAATTTTTTGACACAGTTTCACCCAGGCTGGCCTTGAACTCACTATGTAGCTCATTCTGACCTCGAACTTTTGGCGATCCTCCCTCCTGCCTCAGTGTCAGTCAAATGCTGGAATCACAAGTGTGCACCATCAAGCCCAACTTGAATGCACATTCTTAATGTTTAGAATACAGAGGTTATCTCTGGCAGTGGAGATCAGGCATTTTTTGTATTTTGTGCTGCCCAGAGGTAGTCAGCTGTGTGGGTGTTTATATGGTGGCACATATGAAAAACCTTAGACTTCTGTTCAAGAAAATACTGAAATGAATAGCACAACGTTGACAAATTAAAGAGGTCTAAATAATGACCCTTATATAGTACGAACGTCTAGCCTAATCTGAGAAAGAAATCACTCTAAAGTTAAACAGAGGGTCTGGGAGATGGCTCAGTGGAATAAGCGCTTCCCTGGCAAGCGCAAAGGCCTGAGTTCAATCCCCAGTTCCGCCAAAAAAATAATGGAAGTTCATGAAAGCATTTTAGACAGAAATCCAGAGTTCAATCCCCAAAAAAAAAAAAAAAAAAAAAAATTAAACAGAAATGATAGTCACTAAATGATTAAGTGCTAAAGGAAGTACCACAGAGATGGTTTGCATCCCAGAAATTCAGAAAAAGGCAAGAATTGGTGTGATGGGAAAAGCTTTTGGAAGTTTTTTTTTTTTTTTTTTTTGGTTGAATTGTTTTTTAGGAGAGGTTTATTTTTTGTTTTTGGTGCAAGGACCAAACCCTGGGTTTCCAGCTTGCTAAGCCAAATCCCCATCCCCAGCTTTTGGAAGTGGTAGTAGTGCATTTTGAATTTGGTTTTGAGGGTAGTCAAAATTTAAGTAATTCAGGGTTATCTGTCCTATCTTGTGCTGTAAAAGTCTCATAGTTGGTCCTTCTGATTCCAGGCTCTTTCTTCCATCATTCTGTCTGTTCAGTTCAACACTGCCAGGAATGCAGAAAATGCAGTACAAGTCACAAGTCATTTTACAGGTGTTTTGTAATGTTAGAAACAGATAAAATCAATTTTAATGTCTTTAATATATTGACATTATTTCATATTAATACAAAGATTATTATTGAAATGTTTTACCTTTTTGTAATAGTTTTATTATGTTATTTTATACTTATATCTCATTTCAAACTCATGGCAATCCTCCTGACTCAGCCTCTTGAGTTCTGGAATTACAGGTGTGTGCCCCCATGCCTTGGCCTCATTTCATTTTGCGGAGGTTTATTTTATTTTATTTTATTTTATTTTGGTGCTGAGGACTGAACTCAGGGCTTCCAGCTTGCTAGGTCAGCATTCTACCGCTGAGCCAAATCTCCAGCACCATTTCATTTTGGATGTTAAATTTTCATCAGAAATATTTGATCTGTATTTAGAGTTCTCTAAATTTAACAGTTGAAAAGGTGAATTCACATACCATAATTTTCCCAAACATAAGTAATAGTTCTTTGGCAACTGAAATTGTATATCAGATTTTAAAATCGAAATTAATTAAAATTAAATTATTTCCTTTGTCACAATAGCCACATTTTAAATCAGTCATATGTGGTTTCCATGTTCAACAGGGCAGTGTTGCCTTTCTAGGCCCAAGCAGCCATATCCCACTTAGTATCATTTAGTGAATGCCTGTTGCTTATCAAATACAGTGCAGAGCTTTTGTGACCACCCTCACACAACCCTTTAGCTGCCAGACAGTCTGCCCACCTTCAGCCTCAGTGCTCCAGCAGAGTTGAATTCTGTTCAGTGACTGTTCTCATTCCTCATGTACCCGCTCTGCCTGACTCACCCACTCTTCAGTGCGGGAGTCTCCACCACCTCCAGGGAGGGCTTCTCTTGGTACAGTAACCCATTATGGTGCTCTTTGTCTGACAGTCTTTTGTTATTAGACTGTGGGTTGTGAGAGTTGGGACTGTTTGTTTTTCCTGTATTTCCAGCTTGGCACCTTGAGTTTGTAGCGTAAATGTTGAATGCATACTCGGTGGTTGCTGGCAGTGGTGGTGGTGGTGCTGGTGGTGGTATAGAGGTGGTAGTGGTGAAGAAGCAGTGCTTCCTGTGTAAGACTCCTACCAACAAAGGTCATGAGGAAGCATTTTGTAGAAATCATGGAGGGGAGCTACCCAGTGGGTAGATGGTTTTTTTAGGGGAAGTCACAGCTGTCATTGAGAAGGTACATTTCCTGGGCCAGGCATTGTATGCTAAGGACATTATGTGCAAGGGAAAGTACTTTTATGGATTTAAACCTTATTAGGACAGCCAGATAATGTGAATATTCACCCCTAAAGAAATCAAAATGTAGGGTTTTAATTTACTTGCCCAGGGCCACACAGCTAGTAGGTGAACCCATGATTCACATTTGAACAGCTCATTTTCACTCATACTGTTAATATTCACAGTATAGGTACAATAAGGTTAAGTTCTATTGACTAAAAGAGAATCACTGTGAGGAAAAATTTAAAAGTCTGTAGATAAAGAGCAGTTTCAGGGGCCAGGGAGATAGCTCAGTGACTTAAGCACCTGCCTGGCAAGCTCAAGGTCCCAAATTCAATCCATAGTACTGGAAAAAAAAAAAAAGAGCAATTGCAATTTCAGTGTGCAGTGTTTAAGGCTTTTTGTGAGGTTTTGATATTGGCAGTGCCTTGATTGAAGCAGAGTTCCATAGCAGGAGTTACTTTTGAATCCCTGTGAGGTAGGCACTATTATTATCACTATTTCATAATAAGGGAAGTTACACTTGGTTAATGAAAAACCCTCTACACGTTTATAAGCATTTAAGTTGAAGTGCCAGGAACTGCATATCTATCTATATCTATATATTTCTATTATTAATAAGTTTAGAATTTGGCATCATACCTTATATATTATTTTCATAAAAGATTATTTTATAATCTTTTCTTAAATCATTAAACCTTCTTTGGGAGGGCTACTAATTACTATGTTTTGTTTTGAAACAGGATCTTGCTATGTAGTTCAGGCTGGCCTTGAACTCACTATATACACCAGGCTGGCCTTGAATGCACGGTGATCCTCCTGCCTCTGCCCCTCAAGTGATAGGATTATAGACTTGGACCAGCTATAGTGTATTTTGACATATAACTATAATTTATATTTCTGTGGCATAATTACTAATTTAGGGGACATGCACAGCAAAGCTTTTGATGCATATTACCAAACTGCTCTATAGGACATACTCTTCCATTCCTCTCAAGAGTGTTTAAGGGGTTCATTTCCCTAATCCTTTTCTAGTAAAGAGTTTCTCATTTTAAGACACTTGTACTAACTTTTTGGGTGAAAAGTACTGCATTTGAATCCTTTATCTTTGTATTTCGTAGGGACTTATTCAGTGTCTGATGAATGAACTGTTTTGAATTTTTGGTTTTATAGTCTTTTTCCTTCTCTAACAAGCTTTTAGAATTAGTCTATTTATTTAGTCTTTTTGAGACAAGGTCTCACTATACAGCTCAGACTGGCCTTGAGCTCACTTTGTAGCCTAGGCTGGTCTTGAACTCACAACTTATGATGGTCCTCCAGCCTTAGCCTCCCAAGTGCTAGGATTGTAAGTGTGTGCCACCACCACAACTAGCTTTGGAATTGGCCTTTTAGAATTTGCAACTTCTAATAATGCAAGTCACTGATACCATTTTTCATGTT